TCCGATAACACCGCTGGTCTACGCATTTGAATATCGCGCCAATGTGGTCTTTTATTTAATATTAGTTTCTACACACATACGATTTCAGACTGTGCCAAAACAATTATGATACAATTATCTTTATGATAAAGAAAAATGTTCCATGAGTTGCTTATGGGCTGCCAGGTTGTCCAGGCCGAGGCAGGCGAATTCTGTGAAGGAATGCGCAGCCGGAGCCTTCGGCTTGTCAAAGGTCGATCCGCAAGGCAGCGCGGCGGTGTGCAAAAACCGCAATCCATTGGGGGCAGGTGTCCAGTTCGTCGGATCATTCGCTCTTTGAACGGAGTCCAAAGGCCACGGTATTCAATACACCTCGATACCTAATAGATCCGGTGNGAAGGTGTGGGTGTATTCGTGCTCATTCTCTAAAAAGACTAAGGTCCATAAATTGCTCAAGGTGTGATACTACTAGATCACCCAAAACAATGCAGGTGAATTTTCTCGGGCAATTCACAAATGGCCTTTTCGGCTAATCAAAGCCTGCTCTGCATGGGAGCGGGGCGGTGTGTGCAAATTGCAATATGGTCCTGAAGTTCTTGTGATAAGGTCAATTATCAAATTTCTCATTCCTTCATTCTCTGAGCAGATTCCTTCTGGTGTTCGATATAAAGAAGCATTGTTTTGGTTATAAAGGAAAACAGCGATTACCCCTGTTTTNCCTGTTTTTGAGGAAGGCTAGCCCATCAACTGCATAAAAGCACAAGGGATATGCCTAATCGTAATCACACACAAGGTTCGGCTGTCGATCTCACCTCGGTGAATAGTCAAAGTCCTTTATGGACTAGTTCGGAATGAACGAACCTATAGTATATCCCAGCGTCCATTGACTATATTGATAGGGCTGTGCTATGAAATATAACGCTGGTATTGTAGCAGCCAATAAAGCATATGTTCATTCTCGAATAGCTCTGACAGAAGAGCTCTACCGTATTAGGGGGTCACTTGCTCTTTTCATCCGATTTCGTCAGCGCGACCCTTCATCCCAGTTCCTCCTTGCATTTCTTAGCCATAGATGTCCTCATGCAAATACACTTTCTGACCGAAAGCCGAAATAATTAGCAATGGGATTGAGAGTTCTTGATCTGGACCGTTGCGAAAATCGATAAAATCGATGCGTAACGATAACTGTGGCTCCAAAATATCAGGTTTCTTAAGATTTCTAATCAAATCAGGCTTAGAAATGCTTTGCGCCTTAAGGGCGGATTCTTAGAGATTGACGAATTTGCGCAGTGGATATGCATCAAGCCACAAGAATATCAAATAATAATTTCAATATTGTAGCATAAGGAGACATATAATGAAAGAGCCTTTTCTTCATGGTATAAGATGACAATTGTCGTCCAACTGACTCAGAGACGAACCCGGAGAGAAAATACCCTACTCATGTATGAGGGTTTACATGAAGTTGACATTTTGAGTTCGGGGATTTGACTTGGTGTTCACGATTTCGCGATGTACAAACTACCTCTGCCAATAAACTTATCACAAGTGCCGAAGTGTTGGAAAAAAACTCAACGAAACCAGACCTATCAACTACCATGTATTTGGGATCCGGACCACAAGGTTGAATCATTTTCTTTAAAACCAGGTATTAATACTGGACACAGTATAACCAGGATACGAGTGAACACAATTTTGGGAATTTCGGAACGTGTAAAAGGGCGCTATTTACTTGAACAGACTAGCATAAGCTATGGACGACGCAGAACTTCATAATAAAAAAAACTGTAGGGCACCACTCGACGTTGGACATTTAAGGAATAGGTTTGAAAATGCAACAGTGAGAAGATCCATTGACAATTAATCTAATCTGTCAAACGCACGGTTGAAATTCAAAACTAGCGGCTGTGTACTTTTGTGTACGTACAGCTGGTCCATGCCATAAGTCAGAAGGTTTTACTAGGCGGGTGCGAAGCTTGATGCCTATGAGTAGCAGGAGCAGACCAGATTTTTAGTGAACAGTGACTGATGTCTCCGCGATTTTGTAGTGTGCGTTGGTAGTATTTTGGGGATAGTGACGAGAGCTGATGAGGTATCAATGGACTGAGGTAGCCTTATTCCAACCGAAAATATTATATCTGACCGTATTTTGCTATTTCCAAAACGTGCTAACCATGCTTGTACGCAATCATTCCCGTATAAGCCAATGTTTATCACCTCTGGGCGCGACTGGGAGAAGTATTACGAGGTCAGTCCACCTCTGGGAAGCATCGGCCTCGGTTCTGACATCCTGATTACCGGGTTGGAGTCCGACGGGATAATCAATATCCTTGTTTAAAACCTTTATCTTCCATCAAAAAAGAAACCACGAAGGTGCGCCTCGTGTAAGTTTACATATTTTGTACTTGTATGGCCCAAGAGACAAACACAAAAATGACAACAACACGACTTGAAAAAACATGGGTGACTGTCAAAAAATAACAGAAAGAACACCATTCAGCCATAAGTTATCTTGCCCTCCCTCCACCAATGTGTCCACTTTGTACAAAGTGTCAACATTTTTGCTGACTGTCAGTGGTGTAGTCACCACGAACAAGAATCTAATCGTTCACCAATCTCATCTCATGCTGAGATAATCGAGGTGCGATAGGCCCAACAAGAGTGTAAAGATGATTAGTGCTATATCGCGTAAGTGCAAAATGAAATGTTATTTTGTCCTGCCAATCGGTGGACCAGTGGGTAGTATCCGTGCATTCTACCTGTGAGGTTTGATCCCCAGCTGGATCGATGGCTGTGCTCACTTCGGTGGACGACACACCTGAGCACTGCATCTGAAATCTTCATTTCACGCTTGGTTTCATCCGGACCAGCCTCATGTTACAATCCGATTGGTATTATAGCTTCACTTGCTTTCAGACATCGGTACTATTAGTTTTCAGTAAATAGGGAAGACCACAGAAAGCCGCTAAAACATACAAAAAGACTGGAAAGCGAGACAACCGTTGAAGGATCCGAACGTAAGTCCTCCATTATGTGAGTCATATGGTTCATTGATGACCGCGATTTAAAAACACCAAAAACTTTACCATTTTTCAAGTTATCTCAAGAAAACAAGATGGGCTACATTGTTTTAACCAGCGTGTGAGAACGTGTATGGCAAACAAACAGTTTCGATACTTGCTCAACTGGTTGTTTGGCACATTGAAGTTTTAGGTTGGGATAGTGAAAACTTCAATAGTCTCGGTGGGATTCGAACCCACGCATAGACGCCGCCTACGCTTTTGTACAGCGCACGCTCTATCAGCTACGAGGCCATGCTGATAGAACTAATATTTTCACATTCGAATAATCCATCCATTTTGCAGAGGCATGTGACATGCACCAGTTAGCATGTAAGCTGACCACCCTGACAGGTTTTCCTTAGAATCCACCGGAATCCACCGAATGTGAAAAGATCAATGCTACCGGTGCGGCTTCGCAGCTCAGCTGGTACAGCGTGCACTGCGCAAAATGCGTAGGCGGCGTTCATGCGTGGATTCGAATCCCACTGAGGCTACTGAACTTTTTACAATCCCAACATAAAACGTGCCGAAATGTCTAAATCAAAAATATTTTTCAATAACGCAAATCAGGTGTGTGAGTAAAGAAATATATGCAGATAATTACCTGGGGCACAATACTATGCAACTGTTGTCTATGGGGCAGATTTCAGTAAACAATTTAACAGAAATGGGAATACGTCAAAGTAGAGCGGGTCGATCTCAGGGTTTGATTATCTTACTCAGTC